TTTGGCATTTAAGGGTTTACTATGGGTATTGGGTAAAGACAATCTTGATAATTTTCCAAAAGATGGAGCTGGACATCATTTCAGGGCAACTTGGTACAAGAAACAAGCTAAAAGTTGTTGTTAAATGGATAGGCGTTGGTTGGTTACTCACCAATAGCGAACACTGCTTTATTTTGCTTGTTGGCTTTTTGTAAATCAATCGGATGGTTTTTTGAATGATCCAAAAACTGGTTGCAAGACTTTTCTTAAAAGTATGCACAAAATCGAAGAACATGAAAAAAGTAACACACACAAAAATGGAGAAAGATCTTTTTCTTACCAAATTTTGTTTGTTCAGTGTCAGAATTGTCATAGCTGGCCTTGCAACTGGAAAGGAAAAATACAATACAAACACAAACAGGATACACACAGAAATCACAATAGCGTGATATATCAAATTAGTAAATCCACAAGGGCCGTGATGAGGAGTTCAAACCTGTGTAAAACCCCAGTTTGTGTCTCTGGAAATTAAGGTGGCTAAGTACTTTGCAATAATTGTTGACTAATGTTAACATCAGCAGAACTGATTACTTTTCTTTGTCCTTGCAATATGTAACAGTACACAGTGATGCTGTGGAACAATTTAGATGATTCAGCGAAATACCTGGAGTAAGGACTGAAGATTTTTTTCAACATTCTTCTTCTAGCAAATCAAAAACTTGGGGCAGTCAGTAACTGTGTGTTATGGTCTGTCTTACGATGGAGAGGTAAATTCAGTGACATTTCAGTGTCGGGCAAAATATCTAGTCTACAGACAAAGATTAGGGAAGGTGATCCAAATGTACTCTTTTGCACACTGCTCTGCATGTAATTTAAATCTGGTTCTATTTTGTACAGTATGCTCCAAAATTAAAACCAAGTTATTTTATAGAACTCTAGGAAGTGTCTATACCTTTTTTTTCTGAAGAAGGACAGAATCAGATTAAATCTTTCACATTGACTGTAAAGAAACTTTTTGATACTAGATGGGCATCCAGAAAGTCAGCAGTACAGGCAATTTTGTGGAAGTTACCAACACTAGCAGTTGCACTACAAGGGGTTCTGGATGATGAGATAAAAACTGTACTCCTAAGTTTGCTAGAATGAATCCTAGGCAAAAGATACTGTTGTAGTTCTTTCACACATGTTTCACATTGCTTCATTTTGTTTTCATTTTACATTAAAAATTAAAATGATTAAATAACACACATGTTTTTAGATGAGCATGCTGTAATACTTTTTAAATGTAAAATAACAATTATGCATTTCCCTTAAAATTGTATCTTCCTTGTGTTATGATTTTAAACACAAAATCAAAATGTGCAACGAGTTTATGTACTTGGCCCAGACAAAGCTTTGCGTTTTCCAATACTAAAACTGTGGGCTCCTGCTTCCCAATACCATCAATAGGTGGGTAAGGGTGTTATGGCTGCTGCATCTTTATTCTCAAGGATTCTGTAATTTTAATTATCACCCAAGACAAGAAAACCTGATTTTTAAATCAATTTGTTTACTTCTTTTCATATAATCCAACCACTTTGGACTAGATGGTAGAGAAACTGTCTCGCTTCTTGTGGGTCAGCGCTCAATTCCCAACCGTCCAAGTGGTTGGGCACCATTCCTTTCCTGTGTCCTATCCTAAATCCTTATCCTCATATCGCTTCCAAGTGCTATATAGTCGCAATGGCTCAGTGTTTTCTCCTGATAATTATCTTACCTTGTCTTTTTTATGATACGTAATAAATTTATTTATACAACACGTCTCAATTTTTCAGTGACCAGTCTATTTGGTACTTCTCGTGTTGTGGCAGTCGCAACAAGACGTCAACACATGAAGAGAGTAGAGTTCCAGATAACCAGAGGATTTAATCACAAAATTAAAACAATTTAATCAAGATTTTTAGTATAATAAGCTTTTGTATGTTTCATATGCAGCAGATAAAATCATTCATTTGACGGTTCTGTGATTAAGACAAGCCAGCGACAGGGAATATGAGCATTATTTAATAGATCACATGTTATTAATTGCTCACCGTGCCTACCTTGTACTGCTCACCGTCTTCCAGTGATATTAACCAATGTCTTTGGGTCTCTCCTTTTCTGTTGTCTTAGATAAAAGGATAGGTACAATATATGGTTTGTGACACTCCTAAAAATGTTATCAGGAATGACAAGTGACTAGCAACTGAAGGTTTCAAAGTCCCATTGTCCTCTTAAGTATTGGTAATGGTAGTCTGTTTAAAATGGGAAAACTCTTTCTAATAGAATTTACTTTGAACCCCTGAAGTGCACAAAAAACAAACATGTAAAATTAAACATTTTCATGCAAGAAGTAAATTATAATATTATATATTATATATATATATATATATACATATTATATATATATATACATATTATATATATATATATATATATATATATATATATATATATATATATATATATATATATATATATATATATATATATATATATATATATATATATATATATATATAATATATAAATATGTATATGTCTTTTTTGTGCTTGGTTCACATTAGTAGCTTGCCATGTTACGGGATGCGAGTCAAGGTGTGTGCCAAGAAGATAGATGTACAATATTATAACAATTTTTGTTATAATTTGTGTTGAAACCAGGTCATGATAACTAAGCTCAGCATGCAACTGTATTACCTGGGGGGGGGGGGGGATGTGGGGGTGTCAACGTGTGACGATAACTACACTTTGAGCGCTGAACTCAAAGCAAAAACTGAAGACTATCAATAATTTTGTAAATTAAATCTCCCAACATGGAGTAAAGAAATGTACGAGTTTGACAAATTTAGGAAAAAAAAATTGAAATGAGAAATACACACACTGCCAGTAAAATAGTTTCCATCAGAAATAAATAGTTTAAATTAAGTAAAATTTGAAATACCTGTACTTGAAACTAGATCGAAAGTTCTCTTAAATACCAAAAATTTTACCTGTATTGTATTATGTTAATTTAACGTTACAGAACGTTAAGCTCTCAGAATAAATGACTTCCATTGCATCTTATCTGGTAGACAGCAGTGGTATTGTATTTTTGTAATTAGGATGTAACTCATTGCATACATGCCACTTGGCAAGGCTTCTACAGTGTTGTATTTTTAATTATGCAGCTCCTTGTATTCTCAAAATGATGTTCATATTTTCAGCTGCAGTTTCTAATATACCTGTATATAACTGATTCACTGCTGTTATTATTTCATACGAAGAGGACAAACCTTAGTATTGGGAGGATAACACATTCAAAGGTGTTCAACATTATGATGCCCTGAATCACCAGTTTTACTCTGTTTAAATGTGCACATTTAGTGATGTTATGTGATCATTCTTGCTAAAAGTTTATTTCACACTGAAGGCTCATTTTTAAATTTGTAATTGTTTTCTTTGGTGTTGAAATGATTGAAAATATAAACTATTCTTTTGATAATTGCTGTACTTACTTTCCTTACGAATTCTAAATAATTCACAAATCTTCTTAAAGTAAGGAAACAATTATCAAGAGAAAGTGCCGAGCCCATAAGGCTATATAGCACCGTCTCCACAGAAAACTTAAACATTTACTTATTATCTTTAAGTATATTTCAGAAAGGAAGGAATGATAAAATTATGTATCAAAGCAAAGTTCTAGAACTTAAATTGACCAAATATACTTTGCAGAGAAAAGTTCAGGCATTATTCAATAAATTTTCTAAGCTGTTCATACCAAATAGCTTATACAAAAATGTCTTGTCATTTCGTGTCCTCGGATAATGTGAAAATTTTATATTGTATCTATGTTTGTACAGTATATTATTTCCTAGTGTTTCCTGGCACTTTAAATAATTGTGCAGTATGAAAAGTTTTGTGGTTAAAAAGACCCTATGTTGAATATAGGGAACTTATTCACCAGAAAATGGCAGTTCACTTTATTCAATGTGGGGTCTTTTTAACCTCAAAACTTTTCATACTGCACAATTATTTAAAGTGCCCAGAAACACAAGGAAATAATCAGATATAATATATAATTAATTTTGGATCCCCTTGGTGCCTGGTGGGTCCAGGCACCAAAGGAACATACCAACCCTAGGTGGGTGCCTTGATATCAGGAGGGTCCTTTAGGATCTGGTGAGTCCCCCATGTAAATATACACTGGCTGCCTGTCCCCCCCCAACACAATGAACTATTAAACTACCATACCATTCATGTTATGAGATATGATGCCCAAAAAAACTACCACTCACAGGACGAGTATGGGATGCACAATAATTTACCGCTGAAAGGATGAGTATGGTGCACAATAAACTACCACTCACAGAATAAGTATAATATGGGGTACACAATAGTTTACTGCTTACAGGGTCAGTATGGGGTGTACAGTAAAGTTTTGCTGCTGGGATGAGAACTGGGGAACACAATATACTACTGCTTACAGTACGAGTTCACAACTTTAATGTGTTTAACTTCCAAAAGTCTTTCTTCTGGGGTACCATCAAAGGCTTTTCAAGTTCAGGTAAATGCAATCACCCAAACCTTCCCTTTCATGCATTATTTCTGTGGCTCTTTCATCGAAATTAAGTTAATTTGTTACATACAATCTCCCCATTCAAAATCCAAACTGACTTATTTTGGTGTTACTTTCCAGGAACAAGGTCCATTTGATTTTAAAATATTTTTTCTAGCATTTTTACTGTCATGCTTGTTAATAATATAGGTGTTTAGTTTAGAGAGTCTTCCATGTTTCCTTCTTATAGATTGTAACCATTTGCCTTTCTTTCATATGTCAGCTAAATTCCATGTTTAAGAACAACTGCAAGATAATATATAATGGGGCACTAATCTCAAATGCACATTCCTTTAGTAACCAAGGTGAGATTCCATCTGGGTCAACTGCTTTTTACTTTGTCTCTAGTCACTTCTAATGTACAGTATTCCTAAATTTCTTTCTAAGGTCAACACTAAATTGAGGCTAGTCCACAAAAAATTTAATTCCTCACAAACACACTTTGGAACTGTTCGTTTATGGTTTTACACATTTCCTTTTCAGTCTCTTGAGTGTTTCCCACCAGTTTCAGCTAATTCCCTCACAGTTTAACTTATCAGATATCGGGCAGAATACAATCCCATAATAAATCAGGGTTTAACTCTGAAAGTCTTGACAGCATATGGCTGGCTGATACAAAAATTGGCGTATGAGCACAACTGGCAAATATGTCAGATCAACACCACATAAGGGGAATTTGTAACTATTTTACCCATCCTTTACAAAGATCTTGCTGGTATTCTAAAGCTTAAAAACATTATTACTGTTTTTGTTTTAGTGCAAGAATTTTTAGGATCTGCCAATTTATCTTTCAAATGCACAACATTATATCAGTACATATTCCACCTGCAATTCAATTCTTGTAGTTCAAAATAACATTTGCAAGCTATAATTTTACGTGTTAAATCTAAATAAAAATATTTATTAAACGACAAATTTATTTGTTACCCGAAATAATCAACAATTTCTCAAAACTGATTAAAATCAAGTTAATAACATCTAGTAAGCTAATATATTGTTTACCCATTATGTACATTACATTAAATATATGAAATCAAATTTTCTCAATGCATCATATGTAGTACCATTCACAGCTAATGCATACTACTGAGTAGTTTCAGTTTGGCAAAATATTACTATAATTTCTTAAGTAATCATTATCCCTTTGACTGTCAAGTCAAATTACACTGATTTAATCAATTAGATACAAGACTTCCTGTATTTACTGCTTTTTAGTTTAATACACATTCAACATCTGTAATTATTGGTTACAAGAATTCAATCTTATTTATTGACACTACTTCACCCTTTATAAACATGATTAGCAATGTCACACTAGTACTACTGCAAAATGCTTATAAACATTAGTGGCCACCTAAGGGTAAAGATATATTTCCTAACTCTAGCTATTTCTCATTACTGTAGTAATTCTGTAATAAAACTAAACATTTTCATTCAGTCTTAGCCTTTGTTTTAGCTATACTGTGTACAGTGTGGTGGAGCCGCTCTAGATCACTCCTCACATTGCGCTGCAAGATGGAAGTAGCACAAAGAAGGCCTCCCCAGAGAGCTCCTGCAAACCCACAAGAACAGATATCTTGTCCTGTTAAGTAAACTCCTGCAATCAAGAGAAAAACTAAATATTATCAACAAAAACTTTCTAAATTACAACCTCCCAAAATGCAAACTTACACAATATATATTACTGTATATATACATTATACATTATATATAATGTATATATTATATATACATTGTATATATACATTATACATGTATTATTATACCCCCCTATATATATATATACAGTATATTATTATTATTATTTTTTATATTATGCCATCCGTGTCCTTTCCAAATAAAAACTGTATTGAGAAAAAGTGTAGAGCAGAAACATTTTCGATAAACTTGCCTGGAACATCAGTTTGAGGTCTAAGAATTGCATTATTCCAAATGGAGAACCTTTCTGAAGTGTGGTCCAAGCCATAGATCTCGCCACGTGGTGTTCCAAGATAGTAACGGTTGGACAATGGGGTGCCAATGTTTATATAATCAATGTGATCCTAGAAAGAAAATGTCACACACAAAATATGCAGCGATAAAATATTATTTAATTGAAACTTTTTAAGCTTTTTCCCACACTATGCCAAAAGATACATATTAGTGGCTTTAGGCATCATACTTGCCTTACCTATGAATCTCTCAATTATTTTGTATCCTATGCATGTATGTATGTATGTATGTACAGTACTTTTGCTTAAATTATTAATAACATTATTATTAATAATAATTATTATTATTATTAATTATTATTGCATTTTTTATATTCACTAGTGTAAATCTTGCATTGAGAATCACTACAGTTGCTGAAAAATATAGGTACATTATATATAGTCAAATTATACATGCATTCTCTAAAATCCAATTTCACATAGTAAAATAACTGATCATATTAAATGCCACACATTTATATTTCTGAATTCCCCCCAAAAACAGCATTCAGTGTAATGAAACACCAATTTCTGGGAGAGCCCCAGTGGCTCCCTGAAGCTATACATTGAGACGGTTTCCATATACCAGGTCGACTCCGCAATGGAGTTTATAGGCCTACCAGGGACCGGGGCCAGAACCCAGCCCCCTCAAAGAGGTGCAGGGAGCGGTGATACTGTATATTGCCACCTCACCGGGGCATGCAACCAGAAAGTCAGTGAGTCAAAACAAACCACTGCTGGATTCAAGAGAGACCAAAGACTAAACCCACCTAATGAACTTCCATAACTATGTAAAGAAAATATTGAATTTTATGGAAACTAGAGCGAGCTTGTTCGCACCACTTCCTCCACTCGTTTTGGGGGAAGGGGAAGGTAACTCACTGCCTGCAGGAGTCCGAGCTGTCAGTTTTAGAGCAGATAAAAACACCCCACCTCCACTGACCTGGAAAGGCAGGAGAGGATCAAGGGGCCAGAGGCTCATCCAGAAACTGGAATGTCATTACATTCAACATTGGTTTTCTGGAGTCTCTCTTGCGGCTCCCTGAAGCTAACTACCCACAATGAAGGAATTAATAATAATAATAATAGTAATAATAATAATAATAATAATAATAATAATTCATTGAGTCAGGGGATAGGCAGACAGTTTATACATATAGTACATGTTAGGCTTAAATCGAGGTCCCTCATAGGGTTGAATTACTGACCCCTCCCCAGGATGCAACCCGACAACAAGTTGACTAATTCCTGGGTAACTATTTACTGATGGATGGACTGGGGCATTAGGTGGTAGAAAATGCACCCAACCATTTCTGTGCCACCCAGGATTGATTCAAACCCGGAATTCTCGATTGTGAGTCGAGAATGAACCTGACTGTACTACCGGAACCCCCTTTATTCCTGGAAATACAGGTAGATGGGAACGTACCAGGGAGGAGGCAGCACCACAGGAGTCAAGACAGAGAGGAGACCCCCAGCCAAAACAAAACCCAAGGCCACACAAGGGTGCCGTTAACATTCATCAAATACCGGGCTACCGGAACCTTGTTAGATCTTTAAAACCCCCGTGCCCAAATATCAGCCCTGGACATATTCACGTGAACAGCTAAAAGAGCAGCATACAGTACTTCCTAACATTATGGGCATAAGGGTAGACTGCAGGCAGGCTAGGCTTAACACTGAATGACTTGGAAAATACAAGCTTTGGAACGGGGTTCCAAGGAAACAGGCTCAACCTACAGTGTCCAACAAAGTAGAATCAGTGGTATGAGGGTAGCAACAGAGAGCCACCACCAGACAATACATGATGCATCCCTGATCGAACCAACCAAGCATCAATGACCAAAGGACCCCATCGGAAGCCAACCAGTTCATTCTTTGCCAGAAAATAAGGAGTCGGCTGCAAGCAAAATGCCCACCAGACCCAAAATAACAAAAACCATGCCTCCGAAGGAGAGTATGAAGCGCCCCAATCCAATATCCAGAGGCAAGAGAACCAAAATCAGCCCATTAGAGAAGGAATCATGGACCTAAGGGGACACCAAAACACAAAAAGAGGAAAGGCGAGAGCCTGGTCCAAAGACCGAGCAGGTTGAGGCAGTGCATGAGTGGACCAAAGGTGAAACAAAGCAAAAGACAGAACTAAAGGTAGTGGTGTTTGGGTCTGGTCTACTTTAAATTTCCTTATGCCAGGATGTTGTAGTTATACTGTAACTTTCTTATTTCTTAATTAACTATTTTTAAAGGAACCTAGTTTACTGCACTGCCTTATGCATCAATAAAGGCTTGTATACACATTACTGCATGTGTTAATTTATATTTTCCTGTAACATATCCTAAAGCTTGGCTCTACTTCACAAATTATATGTACAGCATATACTAATTTTGAAGAGCCCACTTGAGCATACAATGTATATTCACAAAAGGGGTCAAACTTACCTTGATTGATGGAAATATATTAGATGCTTGTTCAACAGCTTTGTGGCCAAATATTTTCTTCAAAGAATCATATTCATCGCCACGTTTCATAACACGTTCATTTTCCCACTCTTCCAGCCAGTGATACGGCATCAATGTAACTAAAGCCATAGTTGTCTTGCCTAAAATACAAGACTAATATGAGCACACTAATAATGTTAAAATGATAAAACTCGGGTTGCAAAATTAATATTTCAAAGCATGGTACCCATTCAGCAGTGAATGGGTACCTGGTTGCTTAACATTTCAGCAGGTCATATTCCAGAGAAAATTAGGATTAAGGACCTGGTCAAAATGCTATGCGAGCTAGTAGCTTTACAAGAGTAAGAACTCTTGTATATATAACTAAAAAAAAAAAAGCATTAAATGTAATGAAATGCCATTTTCCGGGAGAGACCCAGAGGCTTCCTGGAGCTATCCAGGCTGATATTGCTAATATTAGACTTTGGCATCAGTGTAAATGGAATTCTTAGGCCTACTGGGGACCAAGAGCCAGAACCTTGCCCCTCTCAGAGACACACGAGGAGCAATGGCCTATAGAAACCCCATGTGGTTGGAAGCATTCTATGTCTGCCATCGACCAGGTCAGGCACCCAGAAAGGTAAGCATTCAAAAACAAACCCCCTATTCTGGTTAAGATATTGCTACCGAGAGCCGAACTAGTAGACAGAACTCCCCAAACAAAAACGAGCAAACGAGCATGACGTCACCACCACCAGAATGAACTCCGAGCCCTGGCACGACCCCGCCGGGACGGCCCCCCACAAGCCCCCAGGAGGACCAACAATTCCAACATAGGACAGCAACTACCCGAAGTCGCCTGCAGATACTGCTTCACCGCAGACTCGGCAAACAGCAACAAACAAAAGGGCGAAGACAATCTACGAGTTAGGGCCAAAGCAGATTCCAAGGAAGAAGCGAGCACCGCCTTCCTACATGCGAGTCTAGAAGCAAAAAAATGCGAAACTGCATCCCGCAGGAGCGGCATGAATAGCTTCAGCAGCACAGACGACACACGCTCCACTGTAAGCAATGCACCAGACCCAGAGGCAGCCCCAAGCTTCTCCACATCCACTGCAAGCCAGTCCAAAGACAGCTCAAGGAGGGTGAAAAAACGCAGGGCCAAAGCCAGCAGGTCCCACGTACGCAAGTCCTCCACGACCAATGCAGCCGGAAGAGAAGGAACCTGAACATGAACATGAAGCTGCATCACACCAACATCCCGTGGAAGGGCGGGGGTGAACAAGCACTCATTGAGATGCTCAAATGGGCCCTCCAGGAAAACCTGCAACTCTGTCTGAGCTTCTCGCCACTCAAGCATGCGGGACCGACAGAACGTATGCCACACCTCCAAAGGGAAGAAAGAGCAGTCTCCTAACCAGGACGTCTCCGGAACTTCGTAACAAACCCAGTAAGGACACGATGATCCATACACAAAGGAATGTAGATCCATCACGAAAACAAAATCCAGGTCGTGCAGGCGGTAAGCTGCAAGGACGTCCTGCACCCACTGGGACTGGACTCGGGAAGCCGGAAACCTCCGGAAAGACTGACCCAAAGAACCGTCGGGGTCACGGAACTGAACCCGGGGAGGGGTAGACGCCATATCCAACTCGTACAAGGAGGGGAGCAAAAGAGAACCCCACACCCTGTAACACCAAGCCCCGGTCCGAGGGTACAAAAACCCAAGCGGGGGTCTAATGGGGCCCAGAAGCTCCGGCAGGAGGACCAGGCTCAAATGCCTCCGCCGCCACCCCGGAAGGGGAACTCCCCCGAGACTGCCCGAGTCTCAATACCAACTAAACCCTGCCCTGACTCCGAAACCCTTAGATGCTTTGGAGCAGGAAGCAAGGGGAAAGGAACCAGATGGACAACAGAAGGGAAAGAACAAGGAGGGGAGGACGGAACCAGAGCTGAAGTGACTCCCACCCCCAAGTCCAGGTCCCTAAAACCAAAACGGGGCAGTCTCGGGGCATCGGGGGGCAACTAACCTAACAAGTTGCAGCAACCTAAACCTAGCATGCAACGCAGCTGCCACCTGCATCCTCATATCATGATCAGTATCTTGGGTGAACTGGAGCACGTACAGGCAACAAACGTCACAACTCCAGGTCAAAAGAATCACCGACCCAACAGGCAGCATGGCGGAGGCACAACCAGTGATTGTTCCCCAGAGACAAGGTGACAGAGCAACCTTCCGTCTCACACGAAGCGAGGGGGGGTCACATCCATCGGACCACAGAGCCCCCACAGGGTTTCTCAGGGCCCTTAGCCTTATTAACACATTAAGGGAAGCCCAGACAGGGTACTGCGAACCGGTGCCCAAGACTACCAAACAATCTGCTAAAAGCTGAACCCTTGGGACATGTCCACTCACGGGGGCCTAGCAAGGGGTACCACCAACCACAAAAACTGAAAACAGATATAATGATAGATATATACACCAACACAGAAGGGGCAACCACCAAGGCAGACCCCTTCACCAGGCAGGAAAACAAAAAAAGCAAAACCCCCGCAAGAGGACAATGTACCCAGGTGGAACAGAGCCGGCCGCTATAAGAGGTGAAAACTAGCTGTGCAGTACCCTGTGCCCCTACTAGTGATGAAAACTACCCCTACCCAGAGGCAAATACGGGTAACAAAGACCCACAGTTGACTCCAAGGGCAGCCAAGTACTGAGCAGTAAATGACACAGCGAGGGTAGATCCTGAGGTGACTTGTGGAAGGTGGCCCCAAGGATAGTACTTACAGGGCACCTAGGCAAGGTGGCCTAGGTGCCATTATAAATATTACTCCTGGCTCGCACACCACCCATAGAGACAGTCCACACCCAAGGCACAAACAGACTAATTGGTGAAGCCATAGGCACAAGACCACACCAGTAGCACATCAACCTGAGAACTGCAGGGTGGATCACCGGCGTGGGGGTCTGGGGCTTCCCCTTTCCCATCCCTCTCCCAGGGAGGGGAGAGGAGGGTTGCGCAGCCAGTGGCGCGGTGACATAACGTCATGCTCGTTTGCAAATTTTTGTTTGGGGGAGTTCTGTTCACTCGTTCAGCTTTTGGTAGCAATTGTTTCACCAGAATAGGGGTTTGTTTTGGGGCGCCTATCTTTCTGGGTGCTAGATCCAGTCGATGGCAGATATAGAATGCTCCCAGATATAGAATGGGAGTTTCTAGAGGTCATTGCTCCTCGTGCCTCTCTTGAGGGGGGCCAGGTTCTGGCTCATGGTCCCCAGTAGGCAAGAACTCTGTGCACATTGACTGATGCCAGAAAGTTATACATATCCATTCAGCATGGATAGCTCCGGGAAGCCGACGGGGCTCCCCCCAGAAAATATAAGTTCTTCATAACTTAGTTTTTAAGTTAGAAAAATAAAAACCCAGCATTTAATGTAATGAAATGGCAATTTTTGGGCAAGTCCCAGAGGCTCCCTAAGCTAGCTTACTGATTAAAGTGCCATACTACTTTGAGACACCAGTCACAGAATTCTTGATGCCTACTGGGGGACCATGAGCCAGAACCTGGTCCCCTCAAAGAGGCACAGGAAGCAATGACTCAAACACTTTACATTCAAAGTTTATCATCTTGCCATCGACCAGTGAAGCACCCAGATAGGTGAATCAAAACAGACTTTGGGTGATGAAGTCATATACGACTTGATAATTATCCAGGACAGACCGAAACGTCATCATTTCATTATCTTCTTGCGTGTGGTTTGGTTATCACATCTTCAGCCACATTATTGTAACTCATTGTCTGCAGACTTTGGGTCCTTTCCTAGTGGTGGCAAAGATGATTAATCTGTAAATGTACAGTGTTCATTGGCCATCACTCCGTGCGCCCTTCTGCGAGGGGCCAGGTTCTGGCTAATGGTTCCCGGTAGGCCAATAGAACTCCCTGACCTTGGCACCTGATAGTATGGCACTGGTCAGTGTATGATCAACCCGTCCTCTTAAAAATAACGTCACTTTTGGCTCGTATGCGCACTATGGCCAAATTTGGACGTAATTTAAAATGAAATCGACTCACAAAAGTGACATACTGCTCCATTTTCTGTTTGAGTCGTCTGGCCCTCCTCGGACAGCTTAGAAGAGGAACTTTCAATTTACGTTTTTCATAACGTTTTGAAACTTTATGAAAATTTCCTGCCCACCTAACCTATCAGAGGACCCTTAACTTACTAGTGTTGAAAAAAAAAATTCCAAATTTATTTTAAATTTACGTCCATATTCAGCCATACGGGCAACGGCCAAAAGCGACATTCTTTTTAAGAGGACAGGTTGGTATGATAGCTTCATGGAGCCTCCGAAGCACACTCAGAAACTGGGATTTCATTACACTCAATGTTGGTTATATTTTTGAAGGTGTACAGTATACTTATTTTAGGATATACTGTATTCAATACAATAGAGCATACACATCATAAAATACACTACTACTACAGATCAATTTCTAGGACCACTCATTATATATATAAAAGCTTTCAAGATCAAAATAAAACAATAATAACAACTGAGTTAAAGCTACTAAAAGTACAACAGCTTACATTGTGCCCCTTGCAAGGATATCATACAAATACAAGTACAGTACCAGTATATGTTCCCATTCTAATCCATCACAGGAATTAATATCAATCTCTTTCTTAAAAGAACATTTATGCATCTTGGAACTATTATATGTTTATCTTCATAAATTCCTCTTGGGGTCCATCCTGCTTAGGTTCTTCGAACACCACCAAATTGCCTGCAAAGATAATTTGAAATATTTTATCCATATTTACAATTTAATTTTGCATACCAGGGTATTTCTTTTTCCATTCAGGATCTTTGGTAGATGGGAAGGAGATGAACAGAAGAGGAATATCAGCATCAAGACCTTCTTCTCGGCTTAGATTCAAGTAATCCACAGTCAACTGCATAAATACAAAAAAATCAGCTGCAAATACTTTTCATTGTACTTTTAAGATGCAATTTTAAATTATTTTATGGATAATATTTATTTAATTATATTGGTGATTAAATGATACATTCTTGCAAGCATGCTTAGTGTGCAATAATATGGACTATGCACATTACCATATTTTTACTTTAGTGTTATACAACTATAGTGAGCATTGTTACATCCACATTTATGGATCGGGTAATTACCTAAGTGTAATTACAGGATGAGAGCTACCCTCGTGGTGTGCCATCTTCCCAGCACTCGTCATATAACGCTTTGAAATTACTGACGGTTTTGGCCTCCACCACCTTCTCGCCTAACTTGTTCCAACCGTCTACCATTCTGTTTACAAAACTGAATTTTCTTATATTTCTCCGGCAGCTTTGTTGCGTTAGTTTAAATCTATGATCTCTTGTTCTTGAAGTTCCAGGTCTCGGGAATTCTTCTCTATCAATTTTATCGATGCCTGTTACTATTTTGTACGTAGTGATCATATTGCCTCTCTTTATTCTATCTTCTAGTTTTTGCATGTTTAATGCCTTTAACCTCTCCTGGTAGCTCTTGTTCTTCAGCTCTGGGAGCCACTTAGTGGCATGTCTTTGCAACTTTTCCAGTTTGTTGATGTGCTTCTTAACCTTTAAGCTGCTAAGGGGTCCTGAGGAGATTTACACCCATGTGCGCAAGAAAAAATTCTACAAAATTATTTCGTCTTCTAAAAATGTTAATTTGTGTTCCCTGAGCATGGGAGGGAAAAAAAAAAAAAAAAAATCGTAGGTAACATATTTTGGCCGCAATAGGCCAAGGAAGTCTGGAAAAATGTGGGCATTGACAGAGCAGTCGTCAGTGGCAGTCAGCGTCACCCGAGCTGACAGGTGAGAGTTGCCACAAAGATATTATTACCTAATTATTTCAATGTCTGATTTTTTCTTAGTTTTCTGCAGTAATATTATTCATGTGTGTAGTGTGATAGATTTATATAATAAAATGGGTGAATCATCGCTATATACTCAAAAGTATGGTGTTCTTATTAGTGATTCAATTATTATGTTCATAAAACAATAAACAAATAGTTTTGCTGTTATTACACTCTATACACAGGTTATATATAAGTATCTGCATGTTTTGTTCACAATAACGAACCATTAAATTTGTATTATGAATCGAAAAGCAACGAGGAGTGACCGCCACACACAAGCTAGCCACTCGTTGCTACTCCAATAACGCCTCACTCGCCCACTTTCTCCTCCCACCATCCTGTTTATTTTATTCACTATATACAGATGTTATATACAAGTATCTACATGTTTTGTTCAACACAACTGTACAACTAAGCTGATATAGTTAGTTCAGGCACTCAGTCGCCGCTACACACACAGTCAGCTGGTGGCTGCATCCCTCATTCATTCAAGGTCACACGCACTAAAATTTCTCCCCCAAGAATACTGTTTGCAGTGTTATTACACTATATACACACATTAAATATCAGTATCTGCATGTTGTATGCACCATAACTGTACACCTAAGATTGTAGGGTGCCTAAAGAGCATAGTGACCACCCTCTACACAGCTAGACAAGTCATGCAGACGACGCCTCCACCGTCACCCAAATGACTCCTCCTAGCATAATCCTTTTGCTGTTATTACACTAATTCACACATTATATATAAGTATCTACATTTGTGTTCACCATAGAGAACCACTGAGCTGGTATGGTGAATGCAGACAATAACATGTGGCCACACAGTAAGTGATGCTATCTCCCTCCATCCCTCAGCATTACTCCTCCCACAGCGCTAATTATCACAACAATTCTGCTATTATCACAATCCTGGTCATTTTTATCAGTCAGGGGTCATCTGTAATACTGTCATCTCTAAATAATAGCCGTTACATATTTATTTTGACATTTTTAGGCAATGCTGTGGTCACAAGCTGAACAGCAATGCTGTTAGCTCATGCTGCGTGCACCAGCCTTGGTTGCTCTCTCAGTACTGTGGCTCTCACAACGGAGAATATTGCCCACGATTTTTTTTAAACATGGTGTCTGTTTACAAGATCCCTGAGGAAGCTAATGTGAACCCTGTGTAGCTGCGGGCCATTTGAATCGTGCCTGGCACCCTATGGCGTATATATACCCCATGTGCACCGTGGGACATGTTACTCATGGCGTATATATACGCCATGTGCAGTTTAAGGGTTAAGATATGGGCATCATATAACCGCTGCACATTCCAGCTTTGGTCTACAAAAGTCGTGAACAATTTCTTAAGTATTTCTCCATCCATGTATTTAAAAGCAATTCTGAAGTTAGAAAGTGTAGTATAGGCTCCTCGCATAATGTTCTTAATGAGCTCCTCAGGTGACAGTTTTCTATCTAGAACCACCTCTAAATCCTTGTCTTTGTCAGAATTCTTTGAAGATTTCTCACATAATTTATAGGTTGCGTGGGGGTTTATGTTCTCCAATTCCACATTCCATAACATCACATTTATTCACATTAAATTCCATTTGCCAAGTGGTGCTTCATATACGCATTTTGTCAAGGTCTTCTTGAAGGGCATGACAATCATCTAGGTTTCTTATCTTCCCTATTATCTTAGCATCATCAGCAAACATGTTCATATAATTCTGTATTCCATCTGGTAGATCGTTTATGTAGACAATGAACATTACCGGTGCAAGAACTGAACCCTGTGGTACTCCACTTGTGACATTCCTCCAATCTGATACATTGCCTCGGATTACGGCCCTCATTTTTCTATCAGTTAGGAAATTTTTCATCCATGTTAGAAGCTTACCAGTCACCCCTCCACTATTTTCCAGTTTCCAGAACAACCTCTTATGTGGAACTCTGTCAAAAGCCTTTTTTTTAGGTCCAGATAGATGCAGTCAACCCAACCATCTCTTCCCTGTAAAATCTCTGTGGCTCAATCATAGAAACCGAGTAAATTCGTTACACAGGATCTTCCAGATCGAAAACCATACTGTCTGTCTGATATATCCTTTTTCTCCAGGTGTTCTACCCATTTTGTTTTAATTATTTTTTCAAATATTTTAACTATTACACTTGTCAATGATACAGGTCTATAATTGCGGGGGTCTTCCCTGCTGCCACTTTTGTAGATTGGAACTATGTTAGTCTTTTTCCACACATCAGCTACAACTCCTTTACACAGGGATGCCTGAAAAATCAGTTGAAGTGGAATGCTGAACTCAGGTGCACATTCTCTCAGAACCCATGGTGAAATTTCATCTGGACCAACTGCTTTGTTTTTACTTAGCTCCTTGAGCAATTTTTCCATTTCGTCTCTAGACACCTCTATGTGCTCTATGTTGTTCTCTGGAATTCTTACTGTGTCTGGTTCCCTGAAGATTTAATTTTGTACCAACACACTTTGGTACTTTTCGTTTAATGTTTCACACATTTCCTTTCACATAAAGTTGTCACATAAAAGTGGCAACTTTACCTTGCGCGTGTAATTGTAAAGCCCTTATATGAGCTCATGACCTTCCTCATTTCTTCCACATGCGTATTTAAGACAAAAATTGTATCTTGTGTATTCATACCTTTGCTGAAGATGTTCCACAGTAGAACGAAATATTGTATAAAATAAACCCCTTCATTAATCAATACAGTAATATACCTGCCCAAAATGTTGTGTGCTAGTGGCTTTACAATAATGCAATAACATCAATTCTATGTACTCTCAAACCCAACGTACCTTGTTGTATATAAATAAGATAAATAAATAAATAAATAAATAAATAAATAAATAAATAAAAAGATCAACAATGCCAGCAATGTGGTCATATTAAACCAATATTCTTAAAGGAATGCCTGCTGCCCAAGTATACAAATAATCATCAACATCAACTACAGTGATACCTCGGGTTACGAACGTTCCTGTTTACAAACTTTTCGGATTACGAGCTCGATTTGTTCGGAAAATTTGAATCGGGATATGAGTTTGTTGATATGAGTACGGCCGATCTAGTGCGTGGTGGCATGGCAATCGCGCCTCAGTTTACCAGTGCCTCGCGCCCAGTGACTATCCCCCCTGAATTCTTCACAAGAATTTACAGTTTTTTGTCGGATTTTTGGCCATTTGAGCATAAAAGTTGTTATTAGCCAGTGGTAAGGTTCAAGGCAAGAAATCACATGTGAGAATGACCATAGTGGAAAAACAAGAGATTCGTAAGCATGAAAATGGTACTCGTGTTGCTGAACTAGCTAAGCAGTACAACAAATCTTCAGGGGAGGAAGAGGCGGCAGTAGAGAATGTCCCTTCCTCATTGATTAAGAAAATGTGTGCAGTATGGGAAGGACTGCAAAGTTTTACTGAAAAAGAGTCATCCAGATAAAGCTGTAGTAGACCGTTGCATTGATCTTTTTAACGACATGTGATGCCTCACTACAGACAAGTGTTGCAAAGAAGGAAAAAACAATCCTCAATGGAACGTTTCCTTGTGAGAAAAGTGAGAAAATCAAGCAGTGAGCCACAACCAGGACCTAGTGGTTATCTTGAGGTTATCTTGAGATGATTTCGGGGCTTTTTAGTGTCCCCGCGGCCCGGTCCTCGACCAGGCCTCCACCCCCAGGAAGCAGCCCATGACAGCTGACTAACACCCAGATACCTATTTTACTGCTAGGTAACAGGGGCATAGGGTGAAAGAAACTCTGCCCATTGTTTCTCACCGGCGCCTGGGATCGAACCAAGGACCACAGGATCACAAGTCCAGCGTGCTGTCCGCTCGGCTCCCAATGCAGTGGTATGCAGGCAAAACGTGCCAGAGTGTGCACTCCAGAGAAATCTTCACTGCCTGATGTTATAATGGAAGGGGACTCCCCTTCCAAACAGTAACACCTCTCCTCCTTCCATTCCTCACCATCTTCCATATGCCAACAGGAGTCATCAGCAAGGGTAAGTAATAACATGAACATACTTTTGTAGTGAAGATTTAGGTGAATTAGGTATAAAATTTACTTTGAAGTTAAATTTTTGGGGAGTCAGGAATGGATTAATTCATTTCCCATTATTTGTTATGGGAAAATGCGCTTCAGTTTATGAATTTTCAGGTTACGAACCCTCTCCAGGAACAGATTAAATTCTTAAACCGAGGTACCCCTGTAATTATATTATATTTATTTATAAAATACAAAGACTAAAACATTGTACACATACAGTACTTTATTTATATTTAAAAGTCTAGTGCTACCATGGCTGTTACTAAACACTGCACTGTACACTACTGTATATTAAAATAAGAATAATGACCAGTTACCTTGTCAATGTCATTCCCAGTAAAAACCCAGGCATTTTTCTTGTGGAAAATATCAAGTTCCTCTGCATCACAATTGAGTCCTACAAATACAGACATGTAACCACAACCGTGCTTTGACGTCTGTATTAGTGGCCAGAGACGGGAGGACGATGCAATATCCAATGGGAGGAGTCGCTCAAATGTGTTGTATACTCCTGAAAGAAATACATGACATTCAAATCTAATTTTTAAAAATTTATTTTACTCAGGTTTATTTATTTACCAATTTATGCACCTATGCCTCGTTCCATCTGATAACACTCGGGTCACAAGTACTAGAGAACAAAATTGTGCCCATGTTCAGCTATTTGCTTTAAAATGTGTGGGAAATAATTTCCACATTTAAGGTTAAAAGGATTCTTCAACTGTAAATAACACTTAAATATTGTATGTTAAATTAATTTCTTTGAAATTTGTTTTTTGTTTACAATAATATATAATTAATAATAATGCTGTGCAGGATAACACCCTTAATGAGTGTTGTCAACTGCTGCTGCCTCACCACGAGACAACTGAAAAACTGAAGTTGTTTTCTGTCAAGTTTCGTTATTAAATCAAATAAATGTGAGGAAATAGTACTTTCCATGCACAAAGAAATCCCATTAACATGGGATTAATTTAATTAATTCTAATTAATTTAAATTAATTCCCAAAGAATTCCATAATACATAAAACATTAATTAGTCATAAATGAACCCCCCAAAATGTGTGAAGGGTAGTTTACTGGTGATAATAAATTATAAAAATACAGTCCACCCACAAGAAGTAATACATACAATTAAATACAATCTCGAATTAATAATCAAATCAATCACTTAGATTTCCCCACAGATGTGGCTGTGCAGCAATTTAGGTTGAGTCTTTGCCTTACTTCCAATGTCATTTTTGTACTGTCTTTCTGCCTCTCTTCTCACCCTGAGGTACTCATTCCTGGCCCTCTGGTGTCCTGTTATTTTAGTTTCTTCATGCTCATGAACTTAACTGTTTTGCCAGCTTACATCTCTGATTAAACCATGGGTTCCTCATTTGCATTTTGTTTTCTCCTTTTGGACTGGGACAAACTAGGTGTGCTGGGAGGGAGGAGGATGGGGACATAGCATGGGTAGGGAGGGGAAAGGATTGAGTGATGGTGAGGGTTGGGAAGATGGTGGCATCTTAAGCTGTATTAAATTATATAATACAGCTCAAGATGCCAGACATTGTTGCACAGACAGACAAAATTTGAGAATAATATTTTAAATGAAACCGTATTTTCCGAGGGGTTAGTTAATTTGGAGATGTGGCAGAAAAATTATGAAAGGCGGAGGTGTTGCCATGCTGGTGAAAGAACACTTGAATGTAAAAGAATTAATAATTAACAAATCCCAAGAAGTTGACAATGGCACTGGAGATTTGTAATCAGGATAGTAAACTGATAATCATAAATGCCTACACCCCACCAGCAAGTAACACTTGAACATAGGAGGAGCTTTATGACAAACGAGAGGGCCTCATAACGATAATGAGAGACTATAGTAAGAGCAGATAAAAACAAATTACAATTGTTGGTACTGTACTTAGTGACTTTAACTTTAACTCAATAGACTAGAAGGTTAGTGAAACAAAAACAGAGGACTTATAGACTGCCAGATTCGTAAATCTCATCTTGGAGATATTTGTGTGTCAACACATTAGGCAAGCCAAGAGAATGAGGGAAGAGGATATTCCTTCAATGCTGGATGTGATATTCACCAGGAAAGAAGAGATATGCAACATTCAGTACCTTCCTCCTTTGATCCCTTAGGTAAGAGCAACCATGTTCATTTGGAAATTATGAACAGACTTTATTTTGGGCACACACCTGCATCAGAGATGATCAGAGGAGCTGCAACATTCACTGGCTCTGTTCCTTTCTTTACTTCAACTCCACATGCTCGACCTTTTCCATCAATAATAATCTGGGTTACCTGTAAATATGAAAATAATAGAGCGTGCATAAATATTTACATGTCACACTTGGATATTCAAATTAACCTGCAACAATCAGTGACTTTACAGTAGTGAGTAATGTAAAAATTTAATATGAAGTAAATGCAAATGTTGATAATGGTGCTGCAGTAGAGGGAGATAAGCAAGAAGTACACTGATATAATAATTATAATAATTCATTGAATTGGGGGGGGGGGACAAAGCCAGTAATTACCCAAGTGTAATTACCTAAGTGTAGTTACAGGATAAGAGCTACGCTCGTGGAGTATGTATGTACCTGTATATATGTTAGGTTATATAGAAGTCCACCCCACCCCCACCCGAGGGCGAACTACTGACCCTCCACAGGATGCAACCTCACAACATACTCCTGGGTACCTATTTACTGCTAGGTAAATTAGGTGGCAGGAAATACTCCCAACCATTATTGTTCCGCCTGGGATTTGAACCCAGAATTCCCGATTGCGAGTCAACGAACCCGACTGTACCACCTGAACCCTCACACCATACAAACAACAAATTGGACTGTGGCATAGTGACAAATCAATTGTGACACTAGCTCTCCACATGTGTCAGTTGCTTAATTTAGAAACTGTACTTGTGGTCGATCTCAAACCCATTTATGATGTGACGACTTATACTGAATTTTGTAACTAGCTCATCAAGATTGTAACTTGCTTAGCTAAATGAATTATGGGGTTCAGTCCCTGAGCCCATTATGTACCTCTGTAACCCTTTCCACTACTACCCACAAGATGGGTATGGGGTGCATAATAAATTAACTAAACTAAACTAACTAGCACAGTAGTACCTATTTTACCAATAATTGAACAGGCATCAGGTGAAATGAAATGTGCCCGATTATGCTAGTAGCAGAGATAGGCTCATTACAGAAGATCCCGTGTTTAATCTCCCAAGTAAGATTGAGACGGTTTGGCACAATCCCTTTCACCCAAAGTCCCTGTCTACCTAGTAGTAAATAGGTACCTGGGAGTTAGGCAACTTGTTTGGATTGCATTGTTAAAGGTCAGTAGCTGGCCTAGAGGAGCCTCAATAGGCATATCAAACTTTCTGTCTTCAGCTATGGGAAATCATATGGTGAAGGGAAGGGAACTATCAGGAGTGTGCGCCAAGTCATTACGACTATATAGCACTTGGAAGGAGTCAGGATTAGGATTTGGGATGGGACAGGGGAAAGGAATGGTGCCCAACCACTTGGACGGTCGGGAATTGAACGCCGACCTGCATGAAGCGTGATCATTGCTCTACCGTCCAGCCCAAGTGGTTGGGGAAATCATATGGTGAACCATAATACATTTTTACATCAGTTATGGACAATTCACAGGGCAATGAGTTTTATCAAATTCTTAAAGACCCACCATCACCATTCTAACTAAGGAGAAGATGTAAAAACAGTGATGACTTGTACAAAACAATCATGAAAGTTCAATGAAAGTCTAGAAACAGGCAAAGGAATTTCATCTAATTATAGTCACATTGATTTAAGCAAGTCACTTTTACTTATTTGGATTTATATCAGATAAGACCTTTAAAGCCATTCTAACTTTAAATTAAAAAATCATATTTTATGCAATTTTGTTATCAAAATGCTATATGCCTATATTAGTTTTCAAGTCTTATGTAAATTAAAACTAATATAAACAAATTAAATATGAAATCTGGTTTCACAGCAGAAAAGTCCAGTTTGTACTAGGGGTAAAAGGAAGCAAAGTGACCAGCAACAACCAGCTGAGAATGCTGATGGGGAAAAGAAGGCTCCTCCCACTCAGATGAGGTAGGAACCCCATGACCCTACACTCTGAGACCTGTCAAGGACGAAGGAGGAGCAGACACATAGTAACAGCCTCAATACCCACACCTCCATACTTTTGGGCAACACCTTTGCATTTATCAGGATATGACCCTCCTCAAAATAACATGGGAGGGCCTTTCAGGATAGGAAAAACTCAAAGTGTCAACTCGGTAATAATTTTTTTTTTAAACTGCAGCATACATTTCTTGTGTAACTTTTAGAAATTGGTGGATTCTGACTCTGTGGTCCTCCTTTTTACCAATCTGTTGCAAGAAAATGTGTCTGATCTAGTAGTTGTCATGTGCATTATGCACCACACGGAAAGTCTTACATTTTCGACATTAAAAAGCATTCACCAGTCTTCTGACCATTTGTGGAATTCATGTAGATTTCTTTGAAGGCATCAATACTTTTTTCACTTCCTACTTTACCATAAACCTTAGTGTTATCTGTAAATTTGATGATGTGGTTTGTAATATTATCATCTACTGTATGTCATTGATATATATGATAAACAAAAAAGTCAGCCTTAAAATGGATCCCTTGTGGTATCCCACTCACCACATTTCTCCAGTCAAATTCATTTCCATTTGCTTTCTTTGTTTTAATCACCGTTTTATCAATTCTAGTATTCTACCACTAATTCCATGTGCTTGTAATTTCCATACCAGTCTTTCATGTGGTACCTTACCAACAGCTTCAACAAAGTTCATGTATGCTGCATCTACTAGAAATCCTTTGTCTAAATAGCCAGTTACTATTTCCAAAATTGTAATCCCATTTGCAAGACAGGATTTATTTGTAACAAAACCATGTTGCATTGATTTTTACTAGATTGTTAACAGTGAGATGGTGAATGAATCCCTCCATCACATTCTTTCCATGACCTTACAGATACGTGAGGTCAGGCTGATCAGATGGTAGTGTTAAACTCTTTCTGCCTTTTGTGAAAATTGGGGTACCATTTGCATATTTCCAATCAAGAGGAACTATCCTCTTTTTCCTCAGATTTTTTTAAAAGGTGTCAGTGGTAGACATTATTCATCTGCCAGTTCCTATATGACTTTGGACTGAATTCCGTCCACAGCTAAAGGCTTTGAATCTCATAGGTTGTCGATGCTCTCTCTGATTATATCACATTATGAAATATCTCTTGATTCATTCTCTTCCCCTTGCTTCAAACATTTATGGGGGTATTGGGATGTTGAAAACAGACATACAAACAAACAAAAGATTCACATGCATAATATAACTCACCTCAGCACGGACAAGAACCTTGCCACCTGCAGCCTCAATCACTGGAATAATATTAAAAGCAATTTCTGATGCTCCTCCAACAGGGTATGAGCTACCTGAAAGAAGAAAAAACAAATTTGAGGTACCGTACTTCAAAGGTGACAGAGGAAAGTCACTGCTAATCACCTTCACCTACATCATTGAAAGGGGGGGGGGGGTTTAAACAGCTCGGGTCAGCCGGACCCTCAGTGGCCAGCTCTAGAATGATGAAATATGTCACCGACCTGGGGCAGGGAGGGTGTCAGGGGGTCTCCAGGGCTCACAAAGAAATTGGTGTTTCATTACATTCAATCTTGGTTTTCTGGGGTGGCCCAGTTGGCTCCCTAACGCTAACTACCCACAGAGAAGGACAGATATAGGAAACTGACCAGGGAGGCGGCAGCAGTAAGGTATCAATTCGAAGGCGAGATCAACGGCTTTGTGAGACACCCCAGAGCTACACAAGGCCGGGGACCAGATGAACAGGGATGTACACAAGGCCAGGGACCAGATGAACAGGGACGTAAACAAGACACCTGGCAGCCAAGACCCTGTTAGACCTCCAAAATCCCTGAGCACGAATATCGACATTATCAAAGACGGCCGACAGAGCAGCATACTAACAAACATCATGAGCATGAGGGTAGACCGCAGGCTGGCTGGAGTTAATGACACTGTGGACAAAATGAGACACACGAACCCTGGAACAGGGAACCAGGGAAACCTTCCCTGACATTACAGGAGCCCCATCAGTATTTTTTTTTTTTTGAGATATATACAGTGGTACCTCGGAATGCGAGTGTCCCTGTATGCGAGTTTTTCGGAAGACGAGCAGGATTTCCTCGGAAAATATGTCTCGGAAGGCGAGGGTTACCTCGGAACGCGAGTTTGTTGATACGTGTACAGGCCGACTGGCGCATGGTGGCATGGCGATCGCGCCTCAGTTTACCAGTGTCTCGTGTCCAGTGACTATCCCACCTGAATTCTTCACAAGGATTTACAGTTTTTTATCGTTTTTTTTGGCCATTTGAGCATAAAAGTTGTCATTATATATCTTGCCATGGGTCTCAAGAAAGCCATTGGTAAGGTTCAACCTAAGAAAATAGCTATGAGTAAAGGCAGTAGAGGATGTCCCTTCTTGATTAAGAAAATGTGTGAAGTATGGGAAGAACTGCAAAGTTTTGTTGAAAAAACTCACCCAGATAAAGCTGTAGCAGGCCATTGCATTGACCTTTTAAATGATAATGTGATGTCTTACTACAGACAAGTGTTAAAATGTAGGGAAAAACAAGTGTCATTAGATAAATTCTTAGTAAAACAAGCAAGTCCTAGTGGTATGCAGGCAAAATGTGCCAGTGTGTGCATACCAGTGAAGTCCTCACTGCCTGATGTGATAATGGAAGGGGACTCCCCTTCCAAACAGTAACTCCTCTCTTCCTCCCACCTCCTCACCATCTTCCATACGCCTACAGCATTCAACAGCAAGGTAAGTAATAACTTGAACATAGTTTTGTAAGTTTATTTAGATGAATTAGGTATAAAAATTTAGTTTGATGTGGGGTTTTTGGGATAGTCAGGAACGGATTAATTCATTTCCCTTTATTTCTTATGGGGAAATTAGCTTCGGAATGCGAGTTTTCGGAATACGAGGCGTCTCCAGGAACCAATTAAACTCTTAAACTGAGGTATGCCTGTACAAGAGTTGTTACATTCTTGTACAGCCACTAGTACGCGTAGCGTTTCGGGCAAGTCCTTAATCCTATGGTCCCTGGAATACGATCCCCTGCCGCGAAGAATCGTTTTTTCATCCAAGTACACATTTTACTGTTGCGTTAAACAGAGGCTACAGTTAAGGAATTGCGCCTAGTAAATCCTCCCCGGCCAGGATACGAACCCATGACAGAGCGCTCGCGGAACGCCAGGCGAGTGTCTTATCACTACACCACGGAGACTATTGACTCGTACACATTTTGACCACCCAATTTCATTTGCCATTATGAAATAATTCAGACTATTAAAAATAGACTCGCCAGTAGTATGCATTTGCAATGATTGGTAAAACAAATTCTTCATTAATTTACCATCAAATTTGTATTGTATGAGTGCAAGCATATCAGCACTGATAAGACACATTCATACTTTCATCTACAGTTAATATAAAGAAGCATACTGACTTTTCAGCACTTTTTTCACTACTGATTGTTAACATTATCAGAAGCATCTATTCACAGCAGTGTTTGATGATGAAAACACAATATAGGTCCTTGCGGCTTTGTCTCCATGCACAATAGAGAATTACTTTGGCAGCATTCAGAATTTGTTCCTCTGATATTGTGTAGTTACAATTTATTTTATTATTAATAGACATAATAGGCGTCTCCGTGGTGTAGTGGTAAGACACTCGCCTGGCGTTCCGCGAGCGCTATGTCATGGGTTCGTATCCTGGCCGGAGAGGATTTACTGGGCGCAAATCCTTAACTGTAGCCTCTGTTTAACGCAACAGTAAAATGTGTACTTGGATGAAAAAACGATTCTTCGCGGCAGGGGATCGTATTCCAGGGACCATAGGATTAAGGACTTGCCCGAAACGCTACGCGTACTAGTGGCTGTACAAGAATGTAACAACTCTTGTATATATCTCAAAAAAAAAAAAAAAAAAAAAAAAAAAAAAAAAAAAAAAAAAATAAGATAAAAACCTACACTTGTGTATGTGAAATTTATACGAGGAATTTACGTCAAGTCTTTCGCACACTCCTATGGGCTTTATCAAGGTCAGAGTGTGTGATTAGGACGAGACTTATATCTCAACATCTAATGATGTAATGATCATCAATGTCTAATAATTTATTAGACATCGAGATGTAAGACTTGCCCTAATCACACACTTAGACCTTGATAAAGCACTCAGGAGACCTGGTGTAAATTCCTTACATAAATTTCACATTTACACAAGTATGATATTTTATCCTGTTATTATATCTATGAGAAGACATTACCATTACTAATGCAATGACATCATATTCATTATCAGAGCCAGTTGCTAATTTTTCCATTCATCTTCACAGCCCCTCTGTATAAATGCAAAGAATATGCATTTATCATGATATTTACAGTTTTTACATGTTGAGTGATGTGGACGCTTCAGGAAGCCACAATGGAATCCCCCAGAAAAGGTAGGGAGATGAAAAGGAAAAAAGCACGTACAGTAACAAGACTTAACATTAAAAATACCCAATGAATCTTATTTATATTTATTTAATATCCTTGTGATGCATCATTTTTAAAGATGAAATCTAGCTTGCTGCACCAGCATTTACACTTACACTTAAAAAAAAAAAATTGTAAAACCAAATGATTACCTTGTGAAAAATGTGAGAAGAGCAATGTCTGCATTGGGAATCCAGACATGCTGGGGGGTGTACCGTAATCACCAAAAGAATAGCAGAAGATATCTCGCAATTCCTGATTGTCCGTCAGTCCCTAAGAGTAAAGGTAAAACAACAAGTTTCAGTGACGGAGTGTTACGACCCCGGGCCCAGTGTTGCAAGATGACAGACTTGGGAACTTTAGGGTTTTGGGGTTATAATAATTAGGTGAAATTTTCAATGGGAGTTTCCATCACCCCTCTTGATTAGGGTTAGGTGATCTGTTCTAGACTGCAGACCATATTTATTTATATATTATATTTGGGAACTGTTTCCCTGGGGGCCGGGCATATCCTAACCCCTTTAGGTGGTACTCCATTACCTTGTTTTAACCATAACAGGCTCCCAATTGTAATATACAAAAATTATTACTGAAGACGAGTTTGCAATGATTGTCAAATGCCATATTGCATAATTCATGAATCAACCACTTACTTCACACAAACATCTACCACAGTTGGTGAATTTTATTTTTCTGGGAGGACCCTATTGGTAGCTCCCTGTTGCGTACTACTCTAGATAGCTCCACACACATCAAATTGCACCTGGCCTTGTGAGTTTTTAAAAACCTTCCTAAAACCAGAGGCCAAAACCTGGTGCCCTCACTGAGGTGCAGGGAGCAGAGTTTTCTAGATCAATGACAGAGAAAATAGCCACCAGAAAGGTAGAGTGAGACAAAACAGACAACAGCAAGATAAAAGCAAACAAAATGAGACCCACAGTATTTAGGCAGTTCAACTGCTAGTTCTCTCTCACCACCACCATCTCTTTCCAACCATCAACCCAATCATCTCTTTCCTGTAAAATCTCGGTGGCTCAATCATAGAAACTGAGTAAATTCGTTACACAGGCTTGTTCTGCTGACTTTCTGGATACCTTCCCTTGGTGGTGGCAGACATTAATAAATTTACATAAAATTGCTCATAGTACCACTGCTCCCCGTGCCTTTCTGAGGAGGCCAGGTTCTGGCTCATAGTCCCCGGTAGGCCAATAAGAATTCGGCAACTGATGGCACCTTGAAGTTTGGCACTATCAGTATAGCAGCTTCAGAGAGCCACAAGGCTTTCCCCCCCCCCCTTTCTAGAAAAGAGAGATTAGTCATGGTTTAGCACAATCAACATGCTCAACTGATTAAATATTTCCAGCAAGTTTTGAGTTATTTCAACAGAAAATGGTATGTACAGTTAACAATATGTTGAGAAAACTAAGCAATAATGTATTTTATATAAATTCAAAGCAGTGTATAAGTTGGCCTGTCACCCCTGGATCCAGTACCATTACCAAAGTAAATACTGTACACCCTCAATGAACAAGTCTATACTTTAACTGCTCTCACTTGCAATGCTAACTGATGGTGCTTACATACCCATACAACTTCCTTGCATGTCTTGCCATTCCATTCGTAGAAATTAGTGAAATACTTGAAAAATCCTGTAACTTTTAACAGCCACACAGCCCACAGCGGGATAAACTTCACCATTACTGCATATGAGCTACTAGGCTGAACATCTTCCACGAGCTTGAAGAATCTGAGACAAAATTAACAAAAATAAGTTCTTTTCTACAGGAACAGCATTAATGATATTTCCAAATTTCCATTCACATATATATTTATGATAAAAGACAGATGTGTCAAATTGCTACAACTTGACAATTTCCTTAACACACCTTGTCTCATTTCTCAAAAATGTTAAATTTTTTCTATCTGATCTTTAACCCTTACACTGCTCCAACCTTGTTAACACTTACACTACTCTACGCCATGTGTCAACGTTTTGAAAGAAACATGCATTCCCTTGAACATTATATAGTAGAATGTTCCATACTGTCTAACTTTTGTCCCCTTTCCCTCCTGGGTTGAGGGGACACTCTGCTGAACTCTGTAAGTACCATCTGAATACTGGAACACTTGATATGTTGAACTTGTACCCAAGATAGACTATGTAATGCATCAGTTATGTAATATATGTGATGCAACTAAAACTTGAACATGTAAAAGCATCTTAATTACCCTCTGCAGTTAAGTGCTTAATAACACACTAGTTTCTATAGCAGCTATCTTAGCCTGTCAAAGTAGGATAGACGCAATAAAGCACCTAAATTATTGGGATTGTCTCAAAGCTCTCCAAATGTATTCACTAGAAAGGAGATGGGAGAGATATCAAATAATATACATGTGGAAGATACTGGAGGGCCAGGTAACAAATCTACACAGTAAAATAACAACATACTGGAGTGAATGATATGGAAGAAAATGCAGAAGAGAATCAGTGAAAAGCAGGGGTGTCATAAGCACAATCAGAAAACACTGTATACACATCAGAGGTTCACGGTTGTCCAACATCCTCCCAGCAAGCATAAGAAATATTGCCGGAACCACCATGAACATCTTCAAGAGAAAACTAGGTAATTTTCTCCAAGGAGTGCTGGACCAAGTGGGCTGTGGTGAATATGTGGGCCTGTGGGCCACTCCAAGCAACAGCCTAGTAGACTAGGCTCTCACAAGTCAAGCCTGGCCTCGAGCCAGGCTTGGGTAGTAGTAGAAATCCCAGAACCCCATCAAGCAGGTATCAAGCAGATAGGAGACATAAATGTACGTGTGTAATTAATATATATCACTCGCTCACCCTCTCGCATACACATACACACACACACACTAAGTATATTTTGGTAGCAGTCTTTCTTGTAAACATATGTTGTTGAATATGACCAAAAGGGCAAGATTAATGATTCTAACACGAATCTTCTTGATATTTCTTACGTTTTTCTTCACTGTCGAGGGTAACTAAAAAATTAATTCTCCAAAGTTCATTTTCACATTTTTATTTACAGTCTGACGACTAGAAGCGTTTCGTAAGAAACTTCTCACATTTTCAAAGACAAATTTTATGTACTCTGTTTCATGTTTATATTTTTTTTGGGTGAAGTGATATGACAAATGTTTTTGGGTGAGGTGATATGACAAATGTTTTTGGGTGAGGTGATATGACAAACCAAAGGGTAATTATTGGGTAAAGAAAATTTTACATAGTCAGAACACAAATCAATGGGTAGAATGCGTATTTTCTCTTCTTGCTTCTGTGTTGGTCTTTCCACTTCAAGACCCCAAACAAACGGGGTTCAAAGTTACAAACCTATTTCCCTACAGATGCTCTACGAGCCTTTTCCTTGCAATCTTCTCCATCACCTTGCATGGTATACAAGTTAGGGAAACTGGCCTGTAGTTCAGTGCCTCTTGCCTGTCACTTGTTTTGTACATTGGGACTACATTAGCTGTCTTCCAGCTTTCTGGTAGGTCTCCCGTTTCCAGTGACCTGTTATACACCATAGAGAGTGGCACACTTAGTGCTTCTGCACCTTCTTTAAGTATCCACTGTGAGATTCTGTCAGGCCCAACAGCCTTTGTGACATTGTTCCAACAGATTCCTTTTGACCTCATCACTGGTGATGTCAAATTCCTCCAAGGTTGCTTGGTTTGCCTCCTCCTCATTTAGTACAGGGGCTTCCCCCTTGTTCTTTTGTGAAGACGACCTGGAATCTCTTGTCGAGTTCTTCACATACCACCTTGTCATTCTCTGTGTATCTATTCTCTCCTTTTCTCAGTTTCATCATTTGTTCCTTCACCACTGTTTTCCTCCTGATGTGGCTGTGGAGCAGTTTTGGCTGGGTCTTAGCTTTACTAGTGATGTAATTTTCATACTGTCTCTCTGCTTCTCTCCTCACTCTGAGGTACTCATTTCTTGCCTTCTGGTATCTCTCCCTGCTCTCTGATGTTCTGTTATTCTTGTAGTTTATTCATGTTCTTTTACTAAATTGCTTTGCTACCTTACATTTCTGATTGAACCATGGATTCTTATGTTGCTTTTCGTTTTTCTCCTTTTGGATCGAGATAAATCTATCTGCAGCTTTCTGGCACTTCTGAGTGACATAGTCCATCATATCCTGTCCATCATATCCTTCTCTCTGAGTTCTGTTTCCCATGGTATTCCCCCTTAGGAAGTTCCTTATCTCGTCATATTTTCCTCTTCAATAATTCAGTCTTTTCCCTACCGATCCCATCCTTGGATAGGTTATCCCTACCTCCACCAGATACAAATGTCAATACACTGTGGTCACTCATTGCTATGGGGGCTTCAAATTTGACTTCTCTTATTTCTGACTCATTCAAGGTAAATATCGGGTCGAGTCTATCTGGTTCGTCACAGCCTCTCATTCTTGAGGGTTCCCTGACATGTTGGCTCAGAAGGTTCCTTGCTGCCACTTCCAAGAGTTCAGCTCTCCATGAATCTGCACCTCCATATGGGTCTCCATTCTCCCAGTCTATCTTTCTATGGTTGAAATTGCCCATGATTCTGGAGCCATTCCTGCAGGCAACTGAAGCTGCTCTATTATATTATTGGTTGCCATGTTGTTTCTTTCAAACTCCTTTCTGGGTCTTCTGTCATTTAGTGGAGGGTTGTAAATGACTCGCTATTATCTTAGGTCTACCCTCTTTCATAGTTCCTGTTATGTAATTTCTGAATCCGTCGATGTTTGAATACATTACCTTGAAGCTCACTTTCCTATATCCATTTTCACCCTCCCTCCCCACAAGTGTAGGAAGTTGTTCAATGGGCATTGCTACTTGGGTAGGCTCATCCTCCTGTAGGAAAGTTGCCAAGGGGGTTCAGGGGGAGGTGGGGTGGGGAATGGAGTGCTTAGGTAATGCCTAGGCCTGTTAGGACAGGAAGAAGTCCTGGTTGGCAAGGAGTGCTTGGGGTTGAGAGGGGGCAAGGATTGCTTGGGGTTGGGGGGGGGCAAGGATTGCTTGGGGTGCTTGGGGTGAGGGCACGCCCTCTTGCGGTGTAGTTAACAGGGCTTTTTGGGGGAGACGGGGTGGAGGATGGAGGGCCTAGGTCTTGCCCGGGCTTGCTTGGGGCAGGAAGATGACCAGGGGATGGGAAAGCAAGGTGGATGGTTGCCTGGGCAAGAGTCTGAGGGGGGCCTGTTTCTAGTTTTTTTTTTATCTCCTCTTGCACTGCACTTGGATAAATCTGCAGTTTACGTATAGTTTCCCTCATGTCCTTCACTACCCTCCATGCATGAGCAATCATTTCCTTGTATGGTTCTTCCTGTTCCTCTCCACAACTGTGTGTGTATGGTGAGGGGGTGGCAAGGTGGGGGGTTACCCGTTGGTGTGAGGGAAAAGGAAGGAAGGAAGGAGGGAATGAGGGAGAGTGAGGGGAGTGAGGGAGAGAGGAAAAATGAGAGGATAAGGACAAGCAGGCAGGTGGGACAAAGTCAATGTCTGAGGAGTAAGGGGTGGGCCTAGATGTGGTTGGTGTAAGCTGTGTGTGCATGTGTTGGAGGTGTTATGGTGAGGGGTGGGGGGATTAGCCAGTGGCCAGCATAATGTATCACATAGGTTTGAAAAAGTAGTACAGTACTCTTGAGCCTCTTGATAATTGTTTTCATTTTGTAACTTAAATCCAAGACTATTATATTAAGAACACTGTACACCATATGATTGACTCAAAGAGGCACTTACCACCAAGTCGACACTCCAAAGCACAACCAGGTGATTTATTAAGCGATGTCTATCTTGTCTTCCCTGTAGGCCTGTTGATGCAAACGCCGCTGCCAGAAGGTAGGTCATTCCCACTTCCTGCTATATATCACTAGGAATGCAGCAGCTTCTCCTTAGCACCGGCATAGACCTAATGCTACACATTTTGACAGCTTGCTTTATTCTTCTCTATCACTACCATAGCTAGTTATGACAGACTGACTGAACGTGACTCTAACCATGGCAGCAATGGTGCCTGTCATGGCACTGATATCATACCCCCTGGTTTTCTCGACTAATTACTACCGGACACAATCCCTGAAATTGCTGTTTTCTAGTGTTACACTTCGTAGTATCACTACGCAACAATTTTCCTTCATATCACTCAGATGTCCCAAATTAGGGATACTTTTCGAAAGAGCGTGGCTGCATGTGTGTTCCCTCCCTAGTCCCTAGACTGTGACAGCTTGTGATAGTGTGATAGCTTCAGGGAGCTGACAGGGCTCCCTAAGAAAATAGTAATAATTTTTCATGTAGTCAACAACAATCCCAATAATAACATTAAAGTACTTTTACTACATACTTGTCAATATTTTTTGCTTCTGCTGGGAATGTTTTCTTCAGATATTCCTTCCATTTGCCATCCCCACTGACCACTGGATATTTGCGTGGCTCCTGACCTTTCTCGGCAAACATCACCACATCATAGTCATCACCTGGTAATAGAGACCATGAGTGTTACATGCCAACTGAAGTTTAGTTTTCTGTATTCTTATATTTTATGTGAATATCTATACTGTACTAACATTACCAAACTTGGTTGGTGTAAGGAAAATGAAGCATGTGATATGTACACATGTTACTATAACAAGCAGAGCAAAGTGTAAAAAAATAATGCCAAATAAAAGATACTAATGGGCTCAGGTTTTATTTGAAGAAAAGCACTAAAAATAAAATCATCATCTACAAAGAACTGATTTTAAAATACAGTACCTGTACTCTAATCATATTTTATATTCTTGGGGTGCAACTTTTGTGCAATTTTGTACAATCAGGGAAATATAGTTGAACATGAATAACGAAACTGAATAATAAGTACTATACTGTATATACAAGTAAACAACTTACTCATTGTTGCCCATTCTAGTTGGCCATTTGTGATTTGATCAATGTACGTCTTCATCAGTGTTTGGGAAGTCAGCTCTCCAATGTAATGAATGCCTACATCAAACTCGTAACCTTTCTCTATAAATGTGTGGCAGCAACCACCAGCCTGTCACGGAAGACAATGACAGTTCAGAATTACTCATTATCTGATCATTGGTATGTCTATTAACTCTTAAATTGCTACAATCACTACATCAAATTACCAAGTGCAATTTTTGATGTGCATCAATGTTGAGTCATTTCAGGTTCATCCATAATAATATATATTAAAGATATTCATAAAATTAAGTTAAGAATATTAAGATAAAAATAGGATGCATTTTGAGACTAAGAATTTTACTTCATAAAAAAATTGATTTACAACAAAATAAGGCTTTACTGACACCTTATAGTATTTAACATGATATGGCCAAATTAACTGATAAAAATAATAAATGAAAAATGGAAACCAACCATACAAATCATACACACTTTTTGAAAATAGGCTCAATGGCTTTACTTTACCCCCAAAAGGCATTTTTGGGTTAAAATTTAGGAATGTTTTTAAAACATTAAATAAATGTTAATAAAGACCTGGTCAGATAAGAGCTTTCAGAATAAAGCTCTGATATTAACTGACCAAAACTAATAACTAGATACTTTTCATTTCACAGCTTCACTAACTCACACTATGATTCAATGATGGTGCTATCCTTCACTATGGTATCTTCAGTTTTAGTATTTTGGCAGCTTCAAAGCTATGTTCTTATTGGTTGTACTATGAACAAGACTGAATTCATATGCTCACTTGTGTCAAACAGTTACAGTACCATAATTGTACAGTATCTTGTAATGCAAATTGCATTAGATAATTCATTCAAGTTCATGAACAATGTAATCACTCTACATCTAACTGAATTTTTTCTAATATAATTAATGATCTTTAGTTGTGCATGGAATATGTGACTTCTGGGAAAACAGCCCCCCCCCTCCATTAACCAAAAAATACATAAAACAACTGTTTATTAGTGAAATACAGTATGTTGCATTTATTCCCCACTGGAAACACTTTCTAACAAATGGATGATACTATGAGTATTAAGAAACAATATTTATATGAATGCAGACAGAAGTACCAGCATGTCAGAAGAGCTGCAAGAAGAAACAGTGGAACTCAAGCCACATCTTGCAATAATAAAGATGAACATGACAATTGTACATAATAGCAAATATGTTCTTCCCAAGAGAATATCATATACAGTAATCAGGAAGGAGAGGTTGTATAGGGGGTTACAGTTACACTATAGTTTTAAGGTAATAACTAGACTAGAGATAACCATCTTGACTGGATCTTACCTGGAGATGGTTCCAAAAGTTGTAGTCATATTACAAGTCAAGCCCAGCCTGAGGCCAGGCTTGACTTGTAATATCTTTGTTTAACAGGCTGTTGCTTGGAGTGGCCTATGGCCCACATAACCACTAGAACCTGATCCAGCACGTCTTGCAAAAATCTATCAAAAATTACCTTTTGAAGAAATCCACCTTGGTTCCAGCAATATTTCTAATGCCTGTTGGGAGTGTTTGAACAGCCATGGAATTCTGATGTTCATAGTGTTCCCTGATTGTGCCTATGGCCCCTCTGCTCCTCACTGGTTCTATTCTGCATTTTCCTCCATATCTTTCATTCTTAATATGTTGTTATTCTACTGTGCAAATTTGGGACCCTGCAGGGCTACATGTTAGATATGACAATAGTGATGACCAAGAATATCATAGTGGTGGTCATTTACAACCAAATATTAAATATCAATGTGTAGGAAAATACTCACATGCAGTGAGGGTGGTAAATTAGTGGAAGAAGCTTGAGGCATAAGTGATGGAAACAATCTCCATTCACAGCTTTGTGAGCCAATACAACTACTACAACATAAAGAGGAATACACACACCTAATATAATAGCTATGAGAAGGAGCTCTAAAGCTAGATCTAACGTCCAGTAGATACAACTAGGAATAATTAGTAAATGTATACATGCATAAACACCTGGTGCAAAATGATAATGATTATGTTTATTCAAAAGAATGTGTGTATGAAGAACATAAGAGTAATGTACAATTGAAGGGACAGGAGTTACACATACTAATGAAGCCACTATTATGCAAAGCATTTCTGGAAACTACAATGACCAAACTGGCTTAAGTGGCTGGCTCTAGGCCTAAATCCCAACATAACAAAAACCCCTCAAGTAACCAAAATATATGGTCCATAATTTCATGCACATGTCCTCCAATCCCAACACAGCCCCACACGTTTAACACATGCACTAATTAAGGTAATGATACCATCTTGGCACATGTGTGTGTACAGTACATATAATTTAAATCTTACCTGATCATGTTGCTCAAGAACTAAAACTTTCTTGCCAGACTTTGCCAGGAGTGCAGCTACAGACAGGCCCCCGATACCACTTCCTATCACAATTGCATCCAAATTCTCAGGAACTTTATCTGGACTGAAACCTGAAAATAAAATGTGCATTATTACAATACTGTACACATATTTTAAAAGATAAACTCATTTGAATGGGCTATGGTAAGCATGAACGAAGATTTCGGTCGATAATTTCAAAACAAGCTTGTATTTGGAGTACATCGAGTAAAAGAAGTTCACCAAGTGGAATAAGCATGCAGTGGTGGTGGTGGTGGTGGTTTTGGTGAATGGGTGGTATGACTATTACCAAGCTGACTGACTGGCATTTATATACATTACATTTAATTTCCTATGCATTGCTTCATGTGCTTATTTTGCTATTTTGAAAGTCACAACACTTGTTTGAGTCTTATTCTTTCCAGTAACTTACTGTCATCTGTAAACACAATCATATAACAATGTACTAGCAACACTACTTGTGCTAGTACTGACCCATGCAGAATTCCACTAGTGACTTCCAGATTGAATCACAGCTTATAATGTCTGCTCTCACCTTTCTACATACGAGTCTCCAACCATGCTAGCAGCCTTCCTATTATACCTACTGTATGCAACTTTCAGAACAATCTGTTGTGTCACTGTTGTGAATATTTTTTCCGGTCCATGACACCAGTCCACTAAACACACACACTTGTAGAACTCCAATATACTGAACTGTCATAAAACTTAGAGAAATTAAAGACAAATGATCTTGTTTTAAAACCAAGCAGTCTGTTATTGACAGTTATCTTGAGATTTAATTAATTTCAGTTTGATTACCTTTAGAGGTGATTTGGTTACAACACTGATCAATGACATCAGTTTATAGTTCAATGGTTTTTTTTCAATAGGTTGCTTTGTAAATTAAGGCTATGTTTGTCATTTTTCAAACCTGCAAGTTTTCAATGTGCAATGATGCATGTAAAAAAATAATTACCCGGTAATTGGTTGCCCAGTTCAAATGTATATACTCAAATCCCAGGGTAGCACTCCGTCTAACTCTACTAACTTGTTTATGTCTAATCACTAATTGGAATTCTTTTGCCAATTAACCCCCAAGACATTATTGCCATAACTCACTCAAAACAAAGTCAGTAACAATAGTGAGATACCAAATATGATTCAGTATACAAAAAAAAAAATTTGCTCAAGTACTGTACTGTACTTGCACCAGCAATAGCATTGTTCTTAAACAAATTTCTCGAGTTGCAAACATTTCCTGATACAGTATTCTAAAATACTGTACCTGCTTGATACCTGCTTGATGGGGTTCTGGGAGTAGTTCTACTCCAAGCCCAGGCTGAGGCCAGGCTTGACTTGTAACAGCATTAATTGTAATGAAACATCTTTCTGTTAGGTTATTGAAGGACCTCCTGTTAACCTGGATAATAGTAATAGTATTAACAGTAATAATAATAAGACCTCATTCCCTCTTTTACCTCATTTCACTAAGTCCCTTCTTAATGACCCTGTTTAACTTTGTTACTACAAATCTAGAAATACTAACCCTGTTTAAGGACAGCATCTCGTTGCTTATGATCCGTGATCTTGGCCTTCACTTCTTTGCAAGAGTTTTCATTAAATGGGTTGGGTGCTGAGGTTTTGGTTGTAAAGTGTATTATGGCCTTGATGACAAGACAAACCAATGACACTAACCCAACTAATGGTAGTGAGATTATTCCCATCTTGACTCTGGAAAAAATATAAATCAGACAACCTTGTACAGTAGATGTAAATGCACTACAATAGTTTTGTTCTATGAACTAATAAACAGTCTGATTTGTTTCAAAACAGGAAATACAAGTAAATAGGGTTTTCACATTACTGTAAATACAATATAATCAGGGCTGAACAAATGATACCTTAGTTAGCCAAAGATACCAGATATTTAAAGAGTACAGCACATAATAGAATATTGTAGGTATACAACAGTACAGTACTGTATTCTAATACAAATGCTCATCAGCTACACATAACTGCCATTTTATAATTTTAAACCTTATTCTTTGTGCAGAATCGTTTAACTTTTAAAATACGTACTGTAAAATACTTTTAAAATACTTTTACTGTACTGTATCTTATTAGGAGAAGAAAACAAATATCTATACAATGCATCAAAGCAAATCTTACAAGTACAGTACTCTATCTCCATTGACAAGCAGGCACAAATCCAGAGAGTCAGTCCAGAATAAGAGTGTGCAGAATGGAGGAATCTTAGCCTTATCTAAGTCCTAGGCCGAGATAAAGCTAAGATTTTCCCTACTGACCTATCCACAGGCTGCAACCCACAATAATTGCTTAACTACCAGGGATACCGGTAGTACAGTGGGGTACATTTTTTTATTTTATTTTATGCATATACAAGAATGTACACAAGGAATGTGAGGATACAAATATGGTAATTACAGTCTTGTAAAGCCACTAGCACGCGCAGCGTTTCGGGCAGAAACGCAGTTTCGTTCTGGACATTCTCGACTCTCAATCGAGAATTCCGGGTTTGATTCCCAGGCAGGACAAATGGTTGGGCACATTTTTCTTTACCTAATGCCTGATCACCTAGCAGTAAGTAAGTACTGCACTCAGGAGTTAGCCAGCTTCTTGGGAGGTTGCACCTTGGGCAGGATCAGTAATTCGCCCATGTGGCCGGGGGGGGGGGACCTCGATACAAGCCTAATTTATTTATTTATTTATTTTTATTTATTTATTTATATATATACAAGAAGGTACATTGGGTTTGTGAGGATGCATAGCATGGTGTTAACATTCTTGTAAAGCCACTAGTACACGCAGCATTTCGGGCAGGTCCTTAATCTAACGCCCAAAACACTATGCGTACTAGTGGCTTTAGGTATTATATGTACTATCTCTATCTTTAAATCTAACATTATGTAACTCAATGAATGTACCTTTAACAGAGTAAAAAATCTAAATCTAACAATTTTAAGTAGGTGAATTCTAGCAAAATTTATAAAGTGATTACAGGTACATTGCAAGAAAAAAAAATGAGATGAGAGAGATTAGTAGGTATATTAAAGCACATTGGTAGCTCTGATTGATTGTGTTGACAGCTTGATTGGTAATTTAACAAAGATTAATAGGCACAATACAGCCTATTGATAGCACACATGAAAAACTGTATTAATGAACATGAATACACTGGCTTCCTGTCCCCAGACACAATGAATTATTATTATTATTAACTATTCACTGCTGAACAGTTGCATCAGTTGAAAGGAAATGCAGCCCAAACACACTTACTATGGGACTTTTTGGTTGTGAACCCTCTGAAATAAAGGAATTTCTTGACCTCATGGAACAGTGGGAAATAATAATTACTATTATTATTTCCCACTATTTCCATGGGGGTCAAGAAATTACGCTTCAATTTGTTATGTTATACCAGACCCATCCATTGAAGTGTGGTTAAATTCCTCCATTCCAGTATAAGAGCTTGTGCAATAGTTCGTGGAAATGAGACAATGAGTCACAATAAAGTGGCTGAAGATAGGTTGACCAAACCACACACCGCAAGATGAAGAAATGACGTTTTGGTCCGTTCTGGACCATTATCAAGTCATGCGACTCAAATACCATGTCGTTCCTTGAAATAATATTCAAAATTCAAATGTTTATTCTGGTAAAGTACATACATACAAGAGGTTATACAAAAATTTATAGATTTATAGATAGAGCTAGTACAGTACATACAATGCCTAAAGCCACTATTACACAAAGCATTTCGGGCAGGAAAAACATTAAAGACAAACTTAATACTAATTGAGATTAAAGTATAAATTGTGTTGAGAATATATAAAAATAAAAGAGGGGGGAACATGGCAGGAAAATAGCAAAAATACAATTTGGTCGACAAACAGCATTGTTTAAAAATAGCAGACATGGGTTGATATTTTAAGGGTAAGGTAGGTTACAGGGAGTTAATTAGGTAGTGCTTAGTTTTTATCTTAAACTGGTTGGGAGAGGCACAGTCTTTAACATAACTGCAAAGGTCATTCCACATTCTGGATCCCTTGATTTATAGAGCATTTCTAGTTTAAGTCGTACTCTTGGAATATCATAAAGGTATTTGTTTCTGGTGTAGTGCTCATGGGTTCTGTTACAACCTTCAAGGAAGCTTTTAAGGTTAGGATTGATATTACAGTTCACCGTTTTATATGAATATAATACACATGACAGGATGTGCAGTGACTTAATATCCAACATATTCAGAGATTTGAGTAGGGGTACCGAGTGATGTCTGGGGCCAGAGTTGGATATTGTTCTAATAGCAGCTTTGTGTTGAGTAATTAGAGGATGTAAATGATTTTGGGAAGTAGAACCCCAAGCACAAATACCATAGTTGAGATATGGATAGATGAGGGAGTAATAGAGCGTCACCAGGGCAGGGTGAGGTACATAATATCTGATCTTAGAAAGAATGACAACAGTTTTTGAAACTTTTTTTGATATATTTAGAATGTGTCCCTAGAAATTCAGCTTGTGGTCAATGAGAATGCCAAGGAATTTGCCATCTATTTTGTTACAAATTTGGGTATTGTTTATCCTGAGATTTATTTGATTAGAGGATTTATTGCCAAACAGAATATAGAAAGTTTTGTCAATGTTAAGGGTGAGTTTGTTGGCAGTTAGCCAAAGATGGACTTTATTTAGCTCAGTATTCACTGACATTTAGAGCACGGGGGTCAGGACTGGAGTAAATGAAGGTTGTGTCGTCAGCAAATAGAATTGGTTTAAGGTGTTGGGAGGCATTTGGGAGGTCATTAATGTAGATGAGAAAGAGGAGAGGGCCAAGTATGCTGCCCTGAGGAACACCAATGTTGATGGGTAGGGTGGGAGAAATTGAATTATTCACAGAAACATACTGGAGCCTGACAGTAAGGTAGAATTTGAGGTATTGCAGGGAGTGACCTCTGACTCCATAATGATTTAATTTAAGAAGAAGGTTTTGGTGGTTGACAGTGTCAAAAGCCTTATGCAGGTCCACAAATAACCCAACAGGGAACTACAGTGTTAACTACAGTGTTAACTACAGTGTTAACTACAGTGTTAACTACAGTGTTAACAATAGAGACTGAATACCTAGGTCCATTTTTATTGTTGGACTCATTGACCTTAAATTACTTTATTACTCTATGTTAGGTTACAAACAAAATGTTACGAGAAAGAGTTCAGTTGTTTTTCTAAACTACATCCTGAATTTCCATTCTGGCATTAATGTAAAGAAACTACTGTACTATTGTTACAACTACTGACTACATATTGGTAATATGGTTCAATGGTTAATGCTATAACAGTCTATGCCTGTCATCCTTAAATGTGACTTTTTGGGCATTCATTTCAAATGTTTATTCAGGTAAAAGTACATACATAAAAGATGAGTTACAAACAATGTTGGATTTATAGATAGAGCTAGAACATACAATACCTAAAGCCACTAATACGCACAATATTTCAGTCAAGGTGTGGGGGAAAATATAGACAAACTTAATACTAATTGAGATTAAAGTATAAATTGAGTTAAAAAAAAAAAGGAATAAAAACGTAGGGGGGGGAGGTGCAGTGTGAGGGGACGGTACCCCTGCAAAGCTTCTCAAACTCTTATTCCCTGCATCACTTTTACCCGAATTTACCTTATGTTATGTTGGAATTCGCTGACAAGCCATTTCCACTTTACTGACAATGTTCTATGGCACCTTAAAACCTAAATATTAACATTATACACTTAAATACTGACGCAATAAATGATAACGTCAGTGCTCAGGTGGCAACGTCAGCCTCAACCTTGACGACAATCTTCCTGCGTTAATGAGAGCAATATACTGTATTCCCCTTTGATGAGACAGATTGTAGACAGCTGCAACAATGATGGTATAGTTTGACCCCAACAATGACACCACACTACCAGACACCACAGCTTATATTATTAAGCTTGCAACTCTCGTAATTGTGGGGGTGGTGTGCTCCCCTTGACAACAGATATAAGCCAACCTTATCATTCAACACAGCATAAGACAAGTATGATATAAGCACAACTACACTCTCGTGACAGTAACACATCAATAAATCCTGTCACCAACTAATGACACTACAAATTCACGCAACAGTTAACATAAATGTGGTGTAAGAGAGACGTACACTACCCCCTCCGACGGCTGTCCGGCCTGTACTGGGCGCTCGGGGCCAGGGTTGCCAGATACAAATTGCTGAAAGTAGCGAGCTGACGGTCTAAAAGTAGCGAATTTGTAATAAGAGTAACCCAATTTTTATATTTAGTGCCTGATACGGGTTTCAAAGTAATATATTTTGATATATAGAGTACACTACACGATGTTAATTGTTTTATTATTATTATTTCTGCACACACACACATATGATATATATATATATATATATATATATATATATATATATATATATATATATATATATATATATATATATATGTCGTACCTAGTAGCCAGAACTCACTTCTCAGCCTACTATGCATGGCCCGATTTGCCTAATAAGCCAAGTTTTCATGAATTAATTGTTTTTCGACTACCTAACCTACCTAACCTAACCTAACCTAACTTTTTCGGCTACCTAACCTAACCTAACCTATAAAGATAGGTTAGGTTAGGTTAGGTATGGTTGGTTAGGTTCGGTCATATATCTACTTTAATTTTATCTCCAAT